AACTCAGAAGCATCAACTCTTCTTCAGGCTTCTTTATTCATTGCCCAATCTATTATTTGGCTGAAAGGTGACCTCTGAGAATGGCTCCAGTTCCAGGTTAAAAGGGTGTCTTAGGGCCATAGCTTCAGGGTTCCTTCAGTCCTATCAGTCCAGTAAGTCTGGTCATTTTTTCTGACTTTGAATTTTGCTCTACATTTTTCTTCGATTTTAACTGGAATCTTCTGTTATATCCCTGTTCAGAGTAGTCAATTGTAGTAGGTGGACACCATCTATTTCTTCTGTTGTTCTTCTCTTTCTAGATGAGGTTGTGGTCTGTGTGGGCCACTGATCCTATGAACTAATTGCTTCCTTGAGTCTTTGGTTTCCTTTACTCCCCTTCGCTCCAGATGGAAAGAGACTGATAGTTATATCTTAGGTGGCTGCTTGCAGGCTTTTAAGACTCAGCAACTACTATGTAGAATATTATGAACTGTTAGGCTGATTGACTTAGATGTCCCTCCATGGATGGGGACTTTTTCAGGGTATTTCCTGAGTTTAACCAAATAAAAAGTGCTGGCCATGTGGAAGGACCAACATCAGTGGCACAGGACTTCACTATTAGATAGACATTTAAAAGAATGGTGATTCTTAATATGTTCTTCAACTGCACCTTTACATTAAATTGGTATAACTTAAGGGGAGAGAGATACCTGTACTGCTCTTGAAATAATAAGTTGCTTCTATTCTAATACTTCTTGATGATTTTCTATTTTCATTAAAACTACGAACTAAAAAGTTTCTTTGCCTAGTCCTCATAGTCTGACATTATTATTCTTCCTCACCCTGAATCTTAACCTAATTCCATTGCATAAAATAAAGTCAGTTTTGTCCTGAAATAGTTTTAAACCTTAACAGTCTATTTTCTGTGATTACCTCATAAATAACAGGAGTTTCATATCAGTTCTCCTGTGTCTTCCTCCTACCCTTTTCCCCTCTTCACTTTGTGCCCATCACAAGTAGATGCTCACCATCACCCCACAGCACAAGATAAATAAGCTTGGAAGGTTTCCTAGCAACATATTGTTCTGGGAACCTGCTCTGTTTCCCTGAGCAAGATGAGGCCAAACTTCCTCAAATCATAGCCAGATAAGAAAGGATTAGTTTATTGAGGTGTTTAGCAGATGGGAGGGAGCTCTGGTGGCCTAGTGCCTAAGGCACTTGACTGCTAACCAGAAGGCTGGCGGTTCAAACCCAACAGCCACTCCTTGGAAGGAAAGTTGGGCAATCTGCTTCCGTAGTGATACCACCTCGGAAACCCAAGGAGGGGTCGCTATGAGTTGAAAATGACTCACGGGCTGTGAGTTTGGGGTTTTTTTAGTGCATTTCATGAAAATTTCACTTGGAAATGAACCTTTTAACATAAGTAGCAAGACTGACTTAAATGGACAGTGTTTCACATGTGGAAAAGGAAAACAACTTTATAATAATTTGGATTTTAAAAAATTATTTTAGCAGAATTATCTAGGAACAAGCTTGCAATATGGAATTCAGTCATTGGTAAAAAAAGATAAGTTTTAAAACTATGTGTAAAATACTTCTACAGAGGACTGCTGTTCAGCTGTTCATGTCCTGGTCTGGGTATCCAGTTGTAAAAACAGTGGAATATTTCCCATGTGGTAGGCAAATAGCTTCTGGACAGGCTCCCTCCTCACAGTGCCTCTCGTTTCTCTGACCGTAACCCTTGATCCCTGCTCCTAGGGATACATTTGAAATACCATGTCACTGCTTAGAACTCTGAGGCCGCAGACCTTTTTCCTTAGCTCCAGAGCTATTTCAGTGCTAGTAGTTTGCCACTTTATCTTGAGAATCTGTTTTTGATTTTCTTGGTATATATTTAAAATATGTAAAGGGGGGGAAAAAAAAAACTAGAGGAATTTAAGACCACCAGCACACTCAACAAAAATGTTTTGGTTGTTATTGTTGTTTTGTTAGCATATAAGGAAATATATTTTCCTTATTGCTTATCAGATGATAACATGAGACTAACACGGTTGGCAGGTAGTACTTGCCTTTTGATGGCTAAAATTTTAATTGGACACAGTGTACTGTTCTGGAGATGGAGTTATAAGGGATTAAAGTTTCTCATGACAGTATTCAACAATGATTTTGCAATTCAGTTACACCTTGGGAGATGTCCTTACTAGTTTGACTGGGGAGACTGTCCCCCATCGAACAGATGGACACTGTCACAAATGTGGTTGCTTAATGATTTGCACTGTTTATCAGACTTGGTCTGAGTTTGTGAAACATTCCAATCATGGTCATAGTGGAGAATTCCAATACTTTGTATGCTCCCAGTGGAAAGAACAAAGCTAACAGACTAAGATAGGAAATGACACATAATGTCTTCACTTTTTATTGAAAAAAACTCTCTGGCCAGATTCCAGAGAATTGAAACTGCCCTTGTCCCAGAAAGCTATAACATAATTTTATCTTCGTGCTAGATACTTCCCTTTCTCTCTTGCTCCCTCCCCCACACACATATAGATGTTTTCTACATACTATCTTTTAAACTGGTTGAACTCAGCAAGAAACGATCTATTGAAGGCCTAATGTGGGCTAGTACTTTGCTAAGGGTCATGGCAGATGCAGAGAGACATCAACACGTCATCTTTGCCCTCACTGAGTCCTCAAAAATTCAGCAAAAGAGTATGTTTAGAGTTTTTTTTTTTTTTTTAACTTGTTTTTCTTATTTTCTAGCCACTTATGTTAAGACTTAAGGGAAGATGTTGATAGCTAAAGAAACTAAATAATTTAGATTATGCAAGGAAAGACTAAAAATAGACTTAATTTGTCATAAGGGGCAGAATAGATTATAATAGATTAATTCTGATGGAATATTTTTTGAAAAATGTCTATGAATTCAGGTATTGTTTTAGGTATTTAAGAAAAGAAAATTTACCATTGCATCGCCTCTGACTCATGGCAACCCCTACATGTCAGGGTAGATCTGGGCTCCATGGGGTTTTCAGTGGCTGGTTTTCCAGAAGTAAATTGCCAGGCCTTTCTTCCGAGGTGCCTCTGGGTGGACTTGAACCTCCAGCCCTTCAATTAGTAGCTGTCTTGGTTCTCTAGTGCTGCTATAACAGACACACCACAGATGTATGGCTTTAACAAACAGGGGTTTATTCTCTTACAGTTTAGGTGGCTAGAAAATACAAAGTACTAGCTCTAAGGGCTAGGTGAAGGCTCCTCAACCTTCACTTCAGCTCTGCCTCTTGCTCTCCTAGCCCACTGGTGCTGGAGGCATGTCTTAACTCAGGCAGCTGCTGGCTGCTGAGGCTGACAAACCCAAGGTTGACAAGTATAATGGCACGGTCCCAGGATTAACAAGGAACATGGCAGGCTGCTAAATGAGGACATGCTTACATTGCAGGTCCAGGTGTGCCAAAAAGCTCAAGACCTTTCTCAAAGCATCTTATATACTGGAAGCAGCCCACATCCCTAAAGCAGATACTCAGCTGCTCTAGTAGATTCCACCATGGAGTTGAGTACCAGTCCTACCATGGGGAATGATTACATCCAGCTGCACAGCCACTCAAAGCCACGCCCAGCCAAGCTGAAACATAACCTTAACTACCATAGTAGCCAGGCACATTAACCGTTTACACCACCAAGGAGGGACTCCTTAGGTACTTTACCTACTTTATACTATTTCATTCTCCTCACAACCTCCGTGAAGTAGGTATATTTTTTCACCTGTCATTTTACAGACTGAGAGTAAGAGAATTAACTAATGGTTTGCCAAGGGATCACATAGGTAATACCATATTTTTACACAAATAACACAGCCATCCTGTTTTGTTTTGTTTTTTTGCCTACTGCACCCTCTCCCCAAGATATTTTTATAAGTGTACTATGCTAGTTTTTAAAAAATTAATTGGACTAGTGTGCTAGTAAACTTACCTGGAGCAGGGAAGGCACAGGATGACAAAGAAATGTACAGTGTGCTCATTATTTATGTAAAAATACAGTAAATACCTAGTAGGCCTTTAGAGTCTTATCTCTCTAATGTCAAATTCTATGACCTTTACACTCTACTATGCTTATTTGTTTATATGTAGAATCCCCAGATTCTGTCATCATTTTTTGCTATGTAGATTTTCAAAAAACACTACACTACTGTCTTTTTGAGGATTATATGATTATAGCAAGAAATATATGACTTGGTGATTTTTTTAATGATCTCCTATAGGAGCTCTGGTGGCATAGTGCCTAAGACATTTGACTGCTAACCAGAAGGTTGATGGTTCAAACCCACCAGCCACTCCGTAGAAGGAAGACTGGGCGATCTACTTCTGTAAAGATGCACCACCTCAGAAACCCAGTAGGGGTCGCTATGAGTCAGAATTGACTTGACAGCAGCGAGTTTGGTTTTTGGTTTTATGTCACAATGATTCCATATTTCTGAGTTTTCAATGTTAAAACTTAGAATCTGTTTCTGTCAGGTATAATAATCTCATTTTTGTTAATATTTTTGTTGCTCAATTTTTTATTTTTATAAAATACGTTTTATTTTCAACAAGGTAGAAAGGTTATGAGTCAATTATACTTAGAGCTGGTTAACAAAATTCATAGCACTTTTAAGTACATTAATAAGAAGTGGTTATGATTTATTAGCAGTACTCTAAAACCAGGAGTAGAGAAACTATGGCTTGTTTTTATAGAAAGAAGTTTATTGAAACATAGCCACATTCATTTGTTTTTTTCATCCATAGTTGCTTTTATGCAACAATGACAAAGTTGAGTAGTTGTGACAGAGACTTTGTGGCCCACAAAGACTAAAATATTTATTCTCTGAAGCTTTACAGAGAAACTTTGCCTACCCCAGCTATTGAATCTAGACCACTTCCATAGTTGGATATGCTTGCTGAGAATACGAGAGGCATAATCAGGATATAATCAGAAAAATTTTTCCCAAATGGAGTCCTTCTTTAACATTTTCCATCTAATCCCAACAGGTACCGACCAAGAAGTTGAAGAAATATGAGAAAGAGTATCAGACAATGCGAGAGAGTCAGCTGCAGCAGGAAGACCCCATGGATAGATACAAGGTATGGGAGATACATGTCATTCTGAGCAAAGTGGTTTCTTTACCCTAAAGCAGCAGTTGTGGCGAGTTCAATTCCCTCTGATCTTTGTTGATTGACTTAGATTCTCTCTGATAATCCTCAGTAACCCAGGTATGTTTTCATTTCAGGAGACCTCTGAGTAGCCAACCATAATATTTCTTTTCTTTCAGTTTGTATATTTATAGGTTACTCCAGCTGTTGCATTTGTACTGGGAATCTTCATAAGAAGCTGAGAGAAAGAGAGGGAAAGAGAAAGACAGAGAAAGTGGCTTTCAACTGCTTTCAAAAATGAGAAAAAAGGAAAATGACAGAATACTGTTTTAGCTGTGCGTGGTCACATCCACAAAGACTTTTAGAAGGTGAACTGTTACAAGATTTGTACAAGGATGTTTTTATACTTACCTCTGTCTGTAGCAAATATTAAAAATACAAATTTACTCAGAAGGAAAATAAAAACCAGAAAGATATATTGAGCTCACTAATGGTGTTTCTTGCAACATTTATTTCTTCACATAGATTTATGAAGAACATTGACACTGGACTACAGTATATACAGTTTCAGAATCAAATGGTTTTGGTTTAATATCTCATTCATTGTGGTATTTTTTTTTTTAAAAAAAGGGCCATTCACCAAGAATTTTGGGAAATGCTAATTACCAACTTATTTTTTTTCCACATGAAATATCATTATCTCTCTTAAACATGTTTTAGTTCTTTAGACTCCTATAGATGTGTGATGGTTTCCTCTGTCCATGTCAGTACAGTAGGATAAGAGAGTATTTTATTTTCCCATTGAGCACCTATTCCAGGACATCCTGCCAAGAAAAATGCATAGTGGTATTGTTAACATTTTACCCACAGTGGGGTGACTTCCATTTTTGTAACTGGAGTTGCCTTTATGTGGTCAGAGAACTGGCCATTGGTAACAACAGGACAGTCACACAATACCGCTTGTCTCTTTTGCTAAATTGAATAATATAATAGGTTTAGCAGAGGAGCATGGTAGAAAGAATATATAGATTTTCTAGTCAGACAGACCTGAGTTCAAATCCTCGCTCACTGAAAAACAAAAGAGCTCAGGATTTGGAATTCAGCCTTTTAGAATAGATATTAAACCACTTCCTTATCTGTAAAATGTGTGGTATAGTCCTTACATTGCAGGATTGTTGTGAGGATGGAGGAATGTTGTACATTAAGTACCCAGCACATAGCTTGTATTCAATAAATGGTCATTAATCCTCTCAGGCCTACTGATACTAATTTCACACATATTATTAGAATACTATCACTTTATATGGGTCTTTCCCTCCAATCCCTCTTTGATCTTCCTCATATAGCTCCTGTTGTTGTTGTGTTGTTATGTGCCATCGAGTCGGCCCCGACTCATAGTGACCCCTCCTTAGGTTGCCGAGGCAGTATCACTACAGAAGTAGATTGCCCAATCTTCCTTCCGAGGAGTGGCTGGTGGGTTTGAACCGTCAGCCTTCTGGTTAGCAGTCAAGTGCCTTAGGCACCTACACCACCACAGCTCCTCATATAGCTCCTATCACTGCCTAATATCTCACATCAGTATGTTTCTCTCCTTATAGAACTGAGTCAATAAAGAACTGATAGTAAAATCCCACATACTGCCATGGTAAACCCATTGCCGTCAAGTCAATCCTAGCTCATAGAGACCCTATAGGACACAGTAGATCTGCCCTCCTAGCATTTCCAAGGCTATAATCTTTATGCAAGCAGATTGCCACATTTTTCTCCCACAGAGCAGCTGATGGGTTCAAACCACTGACTTTTTGGTTACCAGCTGGGCACTTAACCACTTCACCACCAGGACTGCTTTACTGCCATAATACAAAAAAAAAAAAAAAATCCATTGTCATCAAGTCAACCCCTATAAGGTTTCCAAGGCTATAATCATTATGGAAGCAGATAGCCCTGTCTTTCTTCTGCAGAGCAACTGATGGGTTTGAATCACCAGCTGACTGCTTTAACTACTGACATGATAAATAACTATTACTAGATAAGATGCTTCTGGGTAGGGTTTGCAGCTTATTTCCAGCACCTCCTTCCCCAGTAAAACCAATTGTCACATAGCTCATATAGTGTGCTGCTTTAGAAACACTTGAAGGCAGTAATTACATTATTAAGGGAAAAAAAAAAAAAACATACAATTAAAAATCCAAAATGAAGTTCCCCTACTGCTTGTATCATTCTAATTTTATTGCTGCCATCATTGTAAATAAAATCTAGGAAAAATGCATTAAAAAAAAGTGGAGAGGGAAATGCAAGAGCAACACTATACATTTAAAATCAGTGTAGGCTGAATATGTTATTTTTTCTTAAATCCTTTTTGTTTTAAAGCAGATATGAAAAAATAAATAGTAAGATGCGTACTATTTCATTTATTTATTTATTTGGCTTTAACAAACAGGAGTTTATTCTCTTACAGTTTAGGAGGCTAGAAGTCCGAGTTCAAAGTGCCTACTCTAGGGGCTAGGTGAAAGCCCCTTGACCTTGGGCTTCAGCTCTGCCTCCTGCTCCCGTCCCACTGGAGCTAGAGGTGTCTCTTCACTGAGGCAGCTGCTGGCAGATGCATGCTATTTTTTAAAAAAGTACTCATGCATAAGATTATCAATTTTCTTTTAGAGGTTCGAAGTACAATTGAACTTTTTTGTTTTGTGTTGAAAGATGTTTTGAGTATTGGGGCCTTTTCTATTTGTGCATATCAGAAGCCTCCGATAGCTATTATTTTTGGATTGTTATAATATCTTAATAGATGATCTAACTAATATCCCTATAACCTGTTAATAATGTCTAAGCATTTTTACTGGTGATATACTTGATAAAGTGGTTTTGCTTTCTCACATTATATTTTTAAGGTGGCAATTGACATTGTAGTTTCCACGTATCAACAGATTTGGTCTTTCACATAATCAACATGTATTACTTAGAAGCTAATTGCAACTAATGAATGTAGGAAAGCTTCTTAAAACTTATTGGTATCTTCTAAATTTAATCTTGTCAAGAATAAGATGTCTGTCCTAGAAATGAGCACTTTATAATTCACAGATTTGGGGCTGGGAACCTAGTTCTCTAAACAATAAGCAGGCATGATCTTTTAATCACTGAGGGAGTTTGTACCAGGTCAGTAACAACCTCTCCCAACCATTAAGATCCATACTACTTAAAATGTCATGTCTACCCCTAGCTTGACAAATGGCTAGTTAGAAAAATGTGGCAATTAAAAATTAAAAGGTCCCAGAAAAGTATACAATAAAGCATAGTGCCTAAGGCACTTGACTGCTAACCAGAAGGCTGGCGGTCCAAACCCACCAGCCACTCCTCAGAAGGAAGGTTAGGCAATCTACTTCCATAGTGATACTGCCTCGGAAACCCAAGGAGGGGTCGCTATGAGTCGGTTCCGACTCAACAGCACATAACAATAACAACAACAACAAGAGATATTTCAGTTTTATGCTATTTCTCTTAGACTTGGTGGGACAAATTAAAGGGCTATTGCGAAGGAAGTTAGAGGCAGATTAAAGAGTTAATAATGTAGAGTGGAATTCTTGCTAATCTATTTAAACATATTTTGTGTCCTTATTTATGACATATGCAAAGATCTACCTTCTGAGGTAAATTGCTGTATTCATCTTCATCCAACACTTAAATCTCAACCAAAAAGACATGAAGTGTAGTGCTGGTATAAAGTTAATAGAAATTTTAAAACCCTAAGTATGATTAAAATGTCCTAGAATTTAGGTAGTGGTGATGATAATGTAACTTTGAGAATATACTAAAAACCACTGAACTGTACAATTTAAAGAAGGAGAATTTAATGGTATGTGAATATCTGTTTTTTTAACAAAGCAAAATGTTCCAAGGGGATTACCATCTAGCCTGCTGTCTTCCTTTCATGAATTTTGCTTCACACCAGAGATACCTGTGCAGGAGCTATGCTTGAGAGAGGGAGGCCTTCCTGTTAAAAGTGGAGCTTTAATGACTGATCCTGGGTGTACCTTTTTTCTCTAGGGAAAGGCCAACATAAGTGTGTGTGGTACATGGATTTTCAGTGACACTTATTAGGAATATATATATATATTTTTTTGTTTTTTTACATTGTTGTTATGTGCTGTCAAGTTGACCTGCAACTCCTAGGGACGTTATAGGACAGTGGAACTACCCTATTGGGTTTCCAAGGCTGTGATCATAGGGAGCAGATCACCAGGTCATTTCTCCCACACAGTGGCTGATGAATCCCAGCTCTCAACCTTTCAGTTAGCAGCCTAGTTGCTTTAACCGTTAGACCACTCCAAAAAAACAAACTCACTGCTAGGAGTAGATTTTGACTCGTAGCGACCCCCATTGGGTTTCCAAGGCTATAAATCTTTATGGAAGTAGACTGCCTCATCTTTCTTCCATAGAGCAGCTATTAGGTTCCAACCACCAACCTTTCATTTAGCAGCCAAATGCCTTAATCACTGCACCACCATAAAACCCAACTCACTGCCGTCGAGTCAGATCCGACTCATAGCGACCCCTCCTTGGGTTTCCGAGGCGGTATCACTATGGAGTAGATTACCCAATCTTCCTTCTAAGGAGTGGCTGATGGGTTTGAACAGCCAGCCTTCTGGTTAGCAGTCAAATGCCTTAG